CAACCTCTGCCTCCTGGGTTCAAGCCATTCTCTTGACTCAGCCTCTCAGGTAGCTGGGATTACAGCCATGCACCACTATGCCTGGCTAATTTTTTTTTTTTTTGAGACAGTCTCGCTCTGTTGCCCAGGCTAGAGTGCAGTGGCGCGATCTTGGCTCACTACAAGCTCCGCCTCCCGGATTCACGCCGTTCTCCTGCCTCAGTCTCCCGAATAGCTGGGACTACAGACGCCTGCCACCACACCCGGCTAATTTTTTTTTTATATTTTTAGTAGAGACGGGGTTTCACCGTGTTAGCCAGGGTGGTCTCGATCTCCTGACCTCAGGTGATCCACCTGCCTCGGCCTCCCAAAGTGCTGGGATTACAGGCATCAGCCACCCCGCCTAGCCAAGGGTGATTTTTAATGTATTTCTTGGTAGATGGCCCAGTTCTGTGGAACAGAAATTCCAGCATCTGATCCTCTACTCCTGACAGATGTGACCTTAAAAAGAACTTAGAGATTTTAAAGTCTTACTGAGGATATAAAAAAAGTCTTTAAAATGAAAGATTAATTCATAGAATATGAGTTCCATTGTTTGGTTCACCTTGGTGCCTGGGAAATAGTAAGTTCTCAACAAGTATTCACTGAATTTAAATCATTTTTGTGGAGAATTCTGTTGCATCTGGTATGTGCTGGCCATTGTGCCAGCTGCAGACGTATCCCTTTCGATAGGGGGTGAGAGTCTAGTAGCGAAGACAGGAAAAAAGACAGTGACAGTATGGCATGGCACGTGTCATGACTGAATAATAAACAGGATATTTTTATGAGAGCAACAGTCTTTCTCCATATCAGAGACCATCAAATGGTGGTCTATAGCTGGATGCTACCTGCACATGTATTTCATTTGATATTCTCTGGGTAGGCCAACCCCGAATTTAAGCATTTAAAAAAGTCTGTCATTAGCATTTACAAATAAGTACTGTTTTGTCACAGGATCTTTGGGGTGTTGCTTCACTGGCTGAAAACCTTTGTGGCTGGCAGCACCTCTGCTTGGGTTTTACTTGAGTCCACTGGGCTTGTTCTGCCCACTTGGCCCGGCAGGCTGAGCTGGCCCAGCAGGCTGAGCTGGGCTCATGCTACCACCTGGATCCCCTACCTACCAAGGGCGAGCCAGGTGCACAGCAGCAAGGGGTGTGTGAGTGAGTGAGTGTGGGGTCTGGCCACTGTGCACAGCCATACATGCTGACCACAGTGGGGTGGGCCTCTCCAGGCACCAGCACAAGCGCCGGCTCCAGCTCCATGTGAATCTGCAGCTGGACCAGATGTATCACAAACAGCTTCTGCTGTGGGCACCGGTGTCTGGGCAAGGGGAATGCAATGGCGCCTGAAAGCTTGGAGATGCCAGGAACTGCAGTACACCAAAGACGGTGTTACAGCATGTCACAGCCCTGGCTTGGGGAGCCCCAAGGTCTGAGCTCCCAGAATGGCCTCAGCTCTTCTCTCCTTCTCATCACCTGCAGCGTGGTGAGCAGTGGGTGTGTTTCATCCCTGTTTGTGTTACAGCCCTTTCAGTCCTGCCATTTGGCAGCTCCTGAGTTCTTTTCCTTTGTCTGGGAAGAATGAGGTACATGGACAACTAGAGGGTGAGCAAGGTGGAGAGGAGCTTCGTTGAGCCACAGAACAGCTCTCAGGAGACCTGCAGTGGGTAGCTCCTTTCCGCAGGCAGGTCGTCCATCGAGTGTGTGAGTCTGACTGAGTCTGGGGGTTTTTATGTTCTCAGAATGGAGGAAATGCTGACTGGTCTATGGTTGGCCTGGAAAAAGCATCATCCAATTAGTCAAACCGTCATCAATGAAGTTCTCACTCTGGGCTGCAGTCTGCCTGGAGCTGGCAGCCTGGCCCCCAGGCTTCAGGCCATCTCTGGCTTGAAGATGGGGCTTCACTGGGGACCTGCCACTTCCTGCCTGGGAACCTGTCTGCTTCTTGCTGCCATCAACATGATATCCCCAGTGCCCAGGCTGTTCACCCTAATGGGTGCCTGCAGGCTAATGCCAAGCCACCCTCAGCCCCTGGCCTCCCTCTGGTGCTGGTTGGCACCCAATGTCCGGAGGGGACTGAGGCAGCAGGGGGCTGGTGTGTCATCACCACCCAGAGAGTGCACATGCCCAGCTGGGTTGGGACATTGCCCGGTCTCAGCCACAACTTTGCTCCACACTGCAGCACTAGAGTGGGCACCAGGAGCAGGGAGAGGCCAGGCAGCAGAAGCAGGCACTTTCAAACCTGTTGGCGGGTGAGGAAGGGGCTTCCTGGGCCCCAAGAGCTCAGGGATGCCCTAGTCCGGAGCTGAGGCTGGGTGGCTGCAGCTGTTGCCTGAAAGTGTGGGGCTCCTGTCCCGCTGGCTGGGGGGCAGGCTTCTGCCTGTTCTTGGCCCCTGCTGGATCCACAGAGCGCACAGCCCCGGCAGCGTCTCCCCCGCTGCAGCTGGCATCCTCACAGCAGCCGCTACCCCGCTGCAGCTGGCATCCTCACAGCAGCCGCTTCAGATGGGCCACTGCTGCCATCAGTTTTCCTGTGGAAATCTTTTAAATTTAATCAATGGTTTATGTTATCAGTAAGGCTTTTGGTCAGCAGTTGGCTATTAGTACTTAAGTTTTGGGGGAGTCAAAAGTTATATTCAGATTTTTGGCTTCAAGAGCTGTTGGCATTCCTAACCCCTGTGCTGTTCAACGTTCAACTGTACTGGATTTTCTTGAAAATTCTGAAATGCTGGAAACCCTGGGCCTAGATTTCTATGTGACAGCAATTTTGGGGCTGAGTGGCTTCATTTAGATGGGACATGTGCTCCCCATATTCTGCTCTCCCCTTAACACTGAGGTTGATGATAGTGAGGTAGTGCTGTTTCCATGTTGTAGAATTAACAGGAAGTTGAATTATTTCCCATTCTCATTTCAATCAAAACTGGAACAATGGAAGATACACTTAGGGCACCATGTTTTAAGCAAGAAAGGAAGAGGGCAAATTTCTTGTACATATAAAACACATTCCTAGGTGTTTAATGTGCAAACCAATTGTGTCTGTGCAAAGTGACATAATTTAAAACATCCTTCAGAAATAACCACATCAAGAACCATGGGCTACTCGAGTGAAAATAAAATTACTAAAATTTCAACAGGTTTTACATTTGAATAAAAATAAATTACAATGCTGTTAAATTCAGTAAGTGACAAAAATTGTCTGGGTATCACAGCTTTTAGGAGACAGTAAATGTATAAAAAAGGATTTTCTAGGTGCAGCAGAAAGTATGTATCTTGAATAGTCATAGAAACACAACCTCTCAGTGTTAAATGCTTGAGAACCATGGCCAACTTCATGGGCATGGGTCCATGCTAAAGATTTAACGGTCTGTGGTCGCTGTCTTAAAATTCTTAACAATTTTATCCTTGAATGAGTGATGTCTGATGGGACAATGGAGGATGCACCGGATTTGCAGCCTCAACATCCATGAGCAGTCCCTCTCTAGCATCTCTCTGCCTCTGTCCCTGGGAAGAGTTCTTGTCTACCTGCTGCCCATCTCCTGGTACCCCAGGACTTGTCCAGCTCTCCCTCCCCATCCCCACCTGTGATCGCTGCCGTTCTTTTCCCCTAGTAGGAACTAGGCATGGATGTGAGGAGGGTCAAGATTTAACACACATGTCCTGTGGCATTTCAGAGCAGGGTATCATGGCAGTTGTCTCCGTGCTGGGCTGCCAGTGCCATGGTATTTTTGATGGGTGGCTTGGCAGGGTTGAGACTCTTATCTACCCCATCTTGCTACCTACTATGTCTTGGCTTAGGGATAGCAGCACATTTGAGGGTTGCCTGTCTGCCATAAAGTAGATAGTGGGTAGTAAGAGAAGATGGCTGGCTCAGCTTCCTCACCCCTGGTTGGGACATGGTGTGCCGGTCCAGCCACTTAAGGGTGGAGGATTCTAGAAGTTGTTGCAGCATGTGTCAGGGTATACGTGGAATCACAGGGAGGGACTGGTGAGAGTCTGTTGTGATCATCTCCTCTTCCCTTATTGGTAAGAGAGGGATTTCTACCCGAGGGTTATAGGGATGTCAGAAAACAATGACACTAGACACGTGAGATCAACAGTAGTTTGTTGGTTACGTATGCTCACCACTCCAGGGAGGAGGAAATCGCAATGCAAGCAGGCCCCCCCCCCCGGGAATGCAACTGGGAAAAAACCTAAAAAACAGGGGCTACGGAATGCAGGCTTTGCAGTGATGAGAGGGTGAGGTAGTTGCTGGTCCCACGGAATGTGATTGGCTTGTTTGAGTAGTTCTCTGGGCTGGCAGGAATTGAAACCTGCTACTCAAGGATATGCAGGCACTGTGCCTGGTCCCATGATCAAGATGGTTGGTTGGGTGACCTTATTTCCAGGAGCAGAGAGGAGAAGGGAACTTTTGGTTCGGTCATCTGGGGCCCTCCTACCTTCAGGTATCAAGGCAGCACATAGTATTGAACCTTAGTTTTAGTCCTTACGCCACAGAGTCTGCACTTACTTCATGAGTATCCCTGTGCTTGAGTAAGCACAATATTAAATAACAAAAAACACTTTGATGGGTGTGTCTGGGGAGTGACAGAGAGAGACAGAGAAAGAGTGGTGAGAAAGGAAACAAGCTCTGCCTCTTGTTCATCTGGCCCAAAGGAGGTGGAAGGCTCTACCTGTTTGGTGACTTTAGAAGGTGAACCTGCAGCCCAGCCCCTTTCTCTTTCAATGTCTTTATACTGAATGGCCACAAGGAGCTCTTATTCTTCCTGGATCCTGCATTCCATGAGTCTTACAAGTAGTCTTCACCCCAATATGCTTTTAATGTCACTTTTTATCTGCTTTATGAACAAAGGACCTTGTATTTTCATTTTGCACTGAACTTCACAAATTCCATAGCCAATCCTGCTGAGAATTTAGAAGACAAGTGTGTGCACTAGTTACCTGAGGTCAGTGTCACTTACTTTTGTTTCTTACTTGATCCCACAGGTATTTGAGTTTGGGGCCATGTCATAGGATGCACCTTGAAATGAGCCACGAAATGTGCAGTCTAATGGTCTCTGTTGATCCATTTGCTGTCTGTGAAACTCCAGAAGTCAGGTAATTAACTATTTCTTCTGCAATACAGTGTCTTTATACTTAACAGTTATTCTAATTCTTTATATAACCATTAACATCTACATCTGAGTCATAAAGCATTGAAATGAACCCTTGGTTATTGTATTTTCAGCTAATAATTAATGCTATGCACCATGTGATCATAAACCTGCTCTCTTTTTTTTGCATTAATTGGTAACCTGGTCCAACCAGACTCTTAACACGATTGTCCCCGTGTGAGTTTAGTCATTATTTTGACTTCACTGATTATTGGCATTTATTACTTAAGAGCTAAGAAACAGCAACTAATTGAACATATTATGAAACATGTTTCCTCCTGCCTTTTCCATTGTGGGAAAGCATGACTGCTTAATGGGCCACTGCTTATCCCCATTCAAATCCTGTGTGCATTGACTTTGTAGATTACACCTCAGAAGACTTCTCATGTTTCGTTTCCCCACATTTTCTATGGACAAATTTCCATCAACTACATATACTGCTTTGCAGAAACGAACATCTCAAAATCTGAGGAAGAGTAGATAATTTTAGGAAGGGTGACAGAATGGGGAAAGCGGTAAACAGTATCTGAAGAAGTAGAAAATGACTTGAATTTTAGAATTGGGTTATGGTGGCCAGGCGCGGTGGCTCAAACCTGTCATCCCAGCACTTTGAAAGGCTGAGGTGGGTGGATCGTTTGAGGTCAGGAGTTCTAGACCAGCCTGGTCAACATGGTGAAACCTCATCTCCACTAAAAATACAAAAATTAGCTGAGTGTGGTGGCACATGCCTGTATTCCCAGCTACTTGAGAGGCTGGAGAATCACTTGAATCTGGGAGGTAGAGGTTGCAGTGAGCCGAGTTGGCACCACTGTACTCCAGCCTGGGTGACAGAGGGAGACTCTGTTCTCCCCTACCCCAAAACAAGAGTTTTATGGCATTTAGAAGTCCATTTTGAATGATGTGGTAGAGTGGAAACCAGATTACAAGCAGGTGAGAAGTGAAAAGATGATGAAAAAAAGAGAAAATAGTAATAATAGATTACTAGCTTCAGTAAATTGACAGTGAAAGAAAGGGTGAGAATGTGGTTTAGGAGATGACGCAACATGATCATCTGAAGTTTTCTGTGTCCAAATTTTAAGACAGAGGAAATTGTGCATATTCGAAGGCAGTGGAAGTGTCGGCAGAAAGAAGGACCTCGAAAGCTAAGATAAGAAGTTAGTATTGGAAAGATGGAGCCAATACCTCCATATCTGTGAAAAAAGAAAAGAAAAAAAATTATCCAAAGCTGAGTATTGAGTCAGCAGGCAGGGGAAAATATAGGGGCTGTGTGTTTTACCAGGTAGTTGGTGGTGTCAGGGCATGTGGTTAAATATTATCAAAAAGGAACTGACAGTCTAAAAGAATCAGGAGCAATAGGAGGTTCAGGAGGGTATGGAATATTTTGCTTAAATGTAGAGGTGTGAGAGAGGCTGAACGTGAATAATATACCCTATCTTCCTTCCTTCCTAAGAGAAACCCAATTTTCTTCAGGTATCCACTCCTACCCCCTGTGACTGAAACAAGACGAGTCCTTCCCTAACTGGGAAGGTATGGTCTGATTAGTCTCAGAGCTACTCAAAGGACTGATCCGTGATAAGATCAGGGGTTACACCAGAATAGGATTCAACGCACTACATTCTTCATTGAAAAAGTCTACCTAAGTCAAAAATATCAGCTGATGGGAGGCCGAGGCAGGAGGATTGCTTGAGCCCAGGAGTTTGAGACCAGTCTGGGCAACACAGTGAGGCTCTGTCTCTAAAAAAATAAAAAAGAAATTAGCCAGACATGGTGTTATACAATCATGGTCCCAGCTACTAGGGAGGCTGAGGAGAGAGGATCAATTGAACTCAGGAGTTCGAGGCTGCAGTGAGCCATGTTTGTGCCACTGCACTCCAGCCTGGGTGACAGAGCGAGACCCTGTCTCAAATATATATATGTATGTATGTGTATATATATATACACCCTATTTGAATATGGCCAGCTAGTTCTCCCGGCACTATTTATTACACAGGGAATCCCTTCCCCGTTGCTTGTTTTTGTCAGGTTTGTTGAAGATCAGATGCCTGTAAGTGTGTGGTCTTATTTCTGAGTTCTCTGTTCTGTTCCATTGGTCTAAGTGTCTGTTCTTGTACCAGTACAAGAACTGGTTACTGTAGTCTTGTGGTATAGCTTGAAGTCAGGTAGCATGATGCCTGTGGCTTTGTTCTTTTTGCTTAGAATTGACTTGGCTATTTGGCTTCTGTTTTGGTTTTATATGAATTTTAAAATAGTTTTTTTTTTTTTTTTTTCTAATTCTGTGGAGAATGTCAATGGTAGTTTGGTAATAGCATTGAATTTATAAATAAATTACTTTGGGCAGTATGGCCGTTTTCACGATATTGATTCTTTCCATCCATGAGCATGGAATGTTTCTCCATTTGTTTGTGTTCTCTCTGATTTCTCTGAGCAGTGGTTTGTAGCCCTCCTTGAAGAGGTCCTTCACTTCCCTTGTTAGCTGTATTCCCAGGTATTTTATTCTTCTTGTAACAGTTGTGAATGGGAGTTCAGTCGTGATTTGGCTCTCTGCTTGCCTGTTGTTGGTGTATAGGAATGCCAGCGATTTTTGCGCATTGATTTTATATTCTGAGATTTTGTTGAAGTTGCTTATCAACTTAAGCTTTTGGGCTGAGACAATGGGGTTTTGTAGATATAGGATCATGTCATCTGCACACAGGGATAATTTTTGACTTTCTCTCTTCCTATTTGAATACACTTTATTTCTTCCTCTTGCCTGATTGCCTTGGCCAGGACTTCCAAAACTATGTTGAATGGGATGGTGAGAGAAGATATCCTTGTCTTGTGCAGAAACTTTCAATGTAATGTTTGGTCTATGTGTCCTCAGTAAAGGTATTGATTTATGACAATCACATAGAATTGGTTAAGAAGAGTACGAGAACTATTTAAATATTTTTTTTTAATAGAAGGGAAGCACACATATGTTTAAAAGAAAAACCTTAGAGGAGTTAACAGTTTTTAAAAATTCTTAAACTTTTGAAGATATAATCCAGAACATTTACAGACATTGATTTCCTTAGTTTCATTCTTTCTGCCAAAATGAGTTTAATTTTCTTTCATCCATCAAAAATGCCAGTATTCTATTCAAGGCAAGGGAAGAACAGTTTATATTTCCCTGGAAGGAACCTGTTATTTGAGATCATTCAAAAATAAAAGTAGAAATAGGTTTTTTGTTGCTGTTGTTTTTTGTTTCGGAGATGGAGTCTCGCTTGAAATAGCGTTTTTAAAGAAATAACTCGGCTGGGCGCGGTGGCTCACGCCTGTAATCGCAGCACTTTGGAAGGCCGAGGTGGGTGGATCACGAGGTCAGGAGTTCACAACCAGCCTGGCTAAGATGATGTAATCCCGTCTCTACTAAAAATACAAAAAAATTAGCTGGAGGTGGTGGCAGGCACCTGTAATCCTAGCTACTCAGGAGGCTGAGGCAGGAGAATCGCTTGAACCCAGGTGGCAGAGGTTGTTGTGAGCCAAGATTGTGACACTGCACTCCAGCCTAGGTGACAAACTGAGACTCTGTCTCAAAAAACAAAACAAAACAAAACAAAACAAAAACAAAATAAATACCTCAGGTTAACCTCAGACTGGGTGGGACCTGGGTGCTTTGCCATGATTGCTAATGAGTGAGAGATGATTGGTATTAAAATAATAGTAATTCCATGTTGGGGGATTCCTCGACAGTCTTGCCTCAGCAGGCTGCAGTCTTGTTGTCAATTCCTCTTTCATCTGTCAACATATGGACTTGCTAAAACTATCCCTAAGGCAGTGTGGTAAAACACGGCTTGGGCCATTCTACCAAGTAGAATCTCCTCTCATGAGATTTTTTGTGACTTACAAAGGTAATAAAAGTATGAGATATTCTCTTTAAATCTAGTACTATGTGAGGACAATATATATGCCTACTTACCTTATTTAATGTTTTTATTGCAGAAAATTTCAATTATATGCCATGAACATTCATGGACAAGGTGAATACCTGTTTTCATTTATTTTGGGTATACACTTAGAAGTGGAATTCTTGGTTCTCCTCCAACCCCTGCCAGGTATCTATCACCAAGCTTCATCATTGATCCACTCCTGGACAATCTCGTTTCGCCTACACCTTACCCACCCACTCCCTTCATGACCCCATCAGGGTTATTTTACAGAAAATCTCAGACTTCATATAATTTCATCTGTAAAAGTCTCCTTATATATCTACAAAAGAAGAAGGCTTTAAGATCACACAACTACACTACCATCATGATGTTAACAAAACTAACAGCAGTTCCTTAGTGTCACCAGTGTTAGCATTCACATGTTCTCTTGTCTCTTTTATTTATTACAATGTGCTTTTCAATAATAAAGATATAAATAATGTTTACACAACACAGTATGTCTTAATAGTACTTAATATGTTTGTTAAGTATCTTTTAATCTAGAGATAACTCCTCCACTTTTTACATTTTTTACTTTTTCAGCTTTATTGAGATATGACTAATTTTGAATTTTATTAGAACATACAATAAACTGTATGTATATTTTGACATATGTATATACCCGTGAAACCATCATCACAGCCAAGATAATCAACACAGCCATCACCTCCCTCCACAGTTTCCTTGGGCCTTTTAAAAATTCCTCTCTCCTGCCTACCCTTGACCCCTATTGCGAGACAACCACCAATCTGCTTTCTGTATCTATTAATGAGTTTGCATTCTCTAGAATTTTATACAAATGACATCAAACAGTATGTAGTTTTTCTTTTATTCATGTGATAAAATTCATATGACATAAAATAAACTATTTCAAAGTGGACAGTTCCCTGGCATGAAATATATTTACAATGTTGTGTAACTCTCACCTCTATTTAGACCCAAAACATTTTGATCACCCCAAAAGGAAACCCTGTATTCATGAAGCAGTCAGTCCTTTCCCTTCCCTCCTTCTAGCCCCCAACAACCACTAAACTGCTTGCTGTGAATTTACCTCTTCTAGACATTTTACATAAATGGAATCATAAAATGTGTGATGTTTTGTGACTGGCTTCTTTCACCTGGCATCATGTTTTTCCAGGTTCATCCATGTTGAAGCATGTAGCAGTACTATATTCCTTTTTATGTCCAAATAATATCACACTATATGGATACACCACATTTTGTTTTGAATTCATCTGTTGATGTTCATTTAGGTTTTTTTCTCATTTTAGCTCTTGTGAATAATTCAACTATGAACATTTATAGACAAGGTTATGTCTGAATACTTGTTTTCAATTATTTTGTGTACATACTTGGAAGTAAAATTGTTGGTTGTATAGTAAATAAATCTAGGCTTAATTGTTTTCTGTAATGTCTGTACCATTTTACATTCCAACCAGCCATGTATGAGGGTTCAAATTTCTCCACATCCTTGCCCACACTTGTTATATTCTGTATTTTTCTTTTTAATTATAGCCATCCTAGTGGATGTGAATTGGTGTTTCATTGCAATTTTGATTTGCATCTCCCTAGTGAGTCAGAATGACGTGTATCTTTTCATGTGTTACTGAGCATTTGTATGCCTTTAAAGAAATGTCTTTTCAAGTCCCTTGTCCATTTTCTAATTGGATTGTCTTTTTTTTGCTGAATTTTAAGAGTT